TACAAAATTATAAATAAGGCAGTTCAAGACCCCTTAAAAACCTACAAACCAGCTATAAACAGGCTCAAAGACCAGCTAACACCAGCCAAACAGCTTAGGCTGGTTTGAACTTTTTGTCAGCATAGACCATATTCTAGATCTCTTAACCTTATCCAATACCTAAACATAACTGATACAACAACCTTACTTAGTATCAATAAGCAGCAAATTAGGTGTTTACTGAGGCAAAACTCTTAGTTAATAGTTACTATGTGTTCCCTAACCTACCCAAAACGCAAATATTTTGCTACCGAATATCAGTATTCATGTGATCTTCAATAGGAAGTGTAAAATAAAGGCCATAGCTGTCCATAGCAACCTCCCAGATCACCTTAGCAACCACCAAGCAATACTCTTACAAACATCTGACTACCAACCACTCTGAACAGCTGCATTGCCTCAGCAACCACCTAGCTAAGCCTACATTTCTTCAAACTTTCAATCTTTATTCAGACTTACTATGTATACAATCTACACAAAGCTAATAACCTTTAAACCTTCTAACTAACCTTCCTTCCATTCAAAGTTTGTTTTTGCTTTTCAAGTTAATAGTAGTTTCTCCAGGTTGACATCCATGTTTTTATGCTGTCACTGTGGTAAGTGACAGTTCAAATGATTGAATTAAACAAATGTCATAATTAACAAAGTGGGGCAGAGAGAGGGCAAGATAGAAAGAACGACAGAATATCCAGTAACAAAAACAGGCAATTAAAAGTCATTATTTTTTATTAGCCAGGGATAGGCATTTTAAAAGAGTGGGTGGTGGTCTTTAAATATTAAACACTGCTTTAGTTTCTTTGTGACTTTAATGACTGAATGTGTCTGTATGTCTCTCTGTCTCTCTGTCTCTCTTAGTCACACAAACACACACATACACACACACACACACACACACACACACATACGGACACATGGCCGTCTGTGAGTATGGCATCACTAATGAAACAACTTTGGTGCGCCACATCAGAGTCCACCCACGTTGTTGGTATATGGCACAGGTGGCCGGCCCCCAACACGCTTTACCAACCAGCTGACTCACAAACACTCTCTCACTGGCTCTCTGTCTGTCTCTGGCATAATCAATCACACCCAGAGGTAAAGCGTTATAAATATTTAGCAATCCACAATCTTTGAAGCTACCAAACCTGAGCATTCACCTGTCACAGACTTCTAGCAATTGTCATGAGGTAAAACAATATGAAAATTGAATGTGTCCTTGCTGAATAAAATTATTAAATGATTAATTTCATTAAAAAACAGTTCTTAAAAATAAATTACTGTTTTATTTAGCAAGGAAGCATTGAATAATGAAGTAAAAGATATATCCCAGTTCCCACAAAAATATTAAGCACCACAACAGTGTCAACATTGATAATAATAAGAAATGTTCAAAAGTCAGCATATCACAATGATGTCTGATGGATTATGTGACATACACATATGTGACACCTGTAACTGGAAAATAATAAGAATTATATAATATATATGTACGTATAATGGATGTATGTTGTACAATAACTTCCTTTAAACATAACATTTACTTATAAAGCCCTGAATGGTTTAGCACCTCAGTATTTGAACGAGCTCTTGTTACATTATAGTCCTCCACGGCCGCCGACTTGCTGTGTTTGGAGGGAGAGAAATGCTGACTATGACCCCAAGAACACCATCCCTACAGTCAAGCATGGAGGTGGAAACATTATGCTTTGGGGCTGTTTCTCTGCTATGGGTACAGGATGACTTCACCGCATTGAAGGACCGATGGACAGGGCCATGCACCGTAAAATTCTGGATGAGAACCTCCTTCTCTCAGCCAGAACACTGAAGATGGGTCATGGATGATGGGTCTTCCAGCATGACAATGACCCAAAATACCGCCAAGGCAACAAAGGAGTGGTTCAAAAAGAAGCACATTAAGGTCATGGAGTGGCCTAGCCAGTCCCCAGACCTTAATTCTATAGAAAATCTGTGGAGTGAGCTGAAACTTTGAGTTGCCAAGAAACCTTAAGGATTTAGAGAGAATCTTTAAAGAGGAGTGGAACAAAATCCCTCCTGAGATGTGTGCAAACCTGGTGACCAACTACAAGACACGTCTTACCTCTGTGCTTGCCAACAAGAGTTTCTCCACCAAGTTTTGCTTGGGGATCAAATACTTATTTGACTCACTGAAATGCAAATCAATTTATAACCTTTGTACAGTGTTTTTTTTTCTGGATTTTTTGCTTGATATTCTCTCTATCCGTTAAAATAAACCTACCATAAAAATTACAGACCCTTCATTTCTTTGTAAGTGGGCAAACTTACAAAATCAGTAGGGGATCAAATAATTATTTTCCCCACTGTAAATAAAGGTGACTTGACTTGACAAAGAAATGTGTAAAAATATCAGTGTTGTTACAGATTTAAATGACAAAATTGTGGGCTAACTTACTTTGATTCAAAGGGATGAGATAATTCTCCAAAATAACAGTCATTAAGGCTCATTAACCCAGGCCTTTGTCCTTCTCTTTTCTAATGTAAGGATGAATCAAAAATAACATCAACAATTTCCTTTGAGGATCATTTCAAGATTACATAATGCTCCTTTGAACAGAGGCTGTGGCGTCCATATAAGGAAAGTTTTCTTTGGGAGTATATTACAGATTTCTATATAAAAGCACTTGAATATAATCATCAGGAACATAATGTATAAAGTAGTGCTGGGCAACGATTAATCGCATCCCAAATAAAAGTTGTGTACATAATATATGTGTGTGTACTGTGTATATATAAATACACACACACATCATGTATATATTTAAGAAAAATATGTTATGTTTATATATTAAATATATTTATATATAAAATAAATTATATGACTATAAATATATACATGTAAATACATGTAAACATTTTCTAAATATACTGTACGTGTCACAAAGCAAGGCCAGACACAACAGGTAAGTGCAAATCAGGATGGTTTATTGACTGGGTAAGGGGATGACGTGCGGGTGATCAGAACTCAGGTGACTGTGATCGGGTAATTATACTGGATGGTGACTGAAGTGACTGTGATGAATCCCTGACAGTACGTGTGTGCCTTTATATATACATAATAAATATACACAGTACACACACATATATTATGTTCACAAAAACTTTTATTTTGGATGTGATTAATCATTGCCCAACACTAGTATAAAGGAAACAAACAAACAAAAAAAAGAATAACAATTGAATATTTGACTTTAAAGATGATGTCACAAAAAACAGCACATATATATCACAAATATAATAAAAAGTGCTAAACATATTAATCACAAAGTTGTTAATAACACTATTAAAGCTACTGGAACATCATCACAATTTGTGGGTATCACCAAATTTATATATATATATATATATATAAAAAGGTAAAATAAATAATACTATTCATAATTTTGCCATGTAACACATGACTGAAGAGGGTTTACTGTTTTTTGGTTTAGTAACTAAGAACTAAGAAGATTGACCAAGATTAGCACACTGTTTATGTATGTGTGAGAAGAGCTACAATCATACTAAGCCAAAAGAGCAGAAATAGAAACAGATGCCACACACACCACAATTACACCAGTACAGTTACAAAGCTTAATTTTAGATAGTACATGTCTTTATGCAAACATAGCTGTAATTGCAGGAGGCGTTGTTGAAATAAAAAAAAAAAATGTAGTGCAGCTGCCTCTTTTTGCACTTGGGTCATTCCTGTCATGCAGTACCGTTAGAGCTCTGTGACTTTATGATTAAAGGAAGCTTTTCTATTTTCGGAAATAAAATGTCTGGTCAAATTCAAGCCCTTCAACTTTATTATATATCTTGATTTATGGCAAGTAAGTGAAGGGGAATGGAAGTTAGATTGTTAGATTAGATTGTAAGAAAGAGGTTCTTTAAATTCTTTAAGTTCTTTTTATTTTTTGCATTTGCCTTTATTTTACAGGACAGTAGGGGTGAGACAGAGGGGAATATATAATTTTGGGACATGCAGGTTGGGACTCAAACTTGCCTTCCCAAATACATTGTGAACGTTTTGTACTGTACTATCATAGCAGTTTCATAATTCAAATACAACTTAGGCCCATGTCCGTTCTGCTGGTTTCCCCATTTAAACAGTTTTTTTTGTCCACTCCAACCAAAGTAGTAAATTAATTTAAAATGTATGCTTTTTTTTTTTAGATAATATTATGTTTTTTAATCTTTAAATGTGTAATTATTTCATCCAATATATTAAGACATATATAACAGGCATGTGAAAATGTACTGCATAACATGAATGACCCATTTAATGGGAGCTTTTTACTCTTATCATTTAACCCCCAACTGTTTTCTATGAAGGTAGAATGACGTCAAAAAGATTTGCATACGCAGGGTAATATTTGTGGAAGTGTACATAAGACTGTAAGCGTAAATTAAATTTGCATGCGCAAGAGAAGCTTTGTAAAGGTGTAAATCGTGTTTCAAGCGCAAGAAAAAAATATTTGCAGCATTTTACTGTTACTCGTAAGTGTAATTCATGTATTGTGAAACTGCAGCTTCATGCTAACGCAAAATAAATATGATCTGCATGCTTCTGATTTCCATTTTCCCGCGCTTACACTTTTGGCACGTTTTTTTCGCCAAAATACGGTCAAAAGCACTGCAAGCCTGTGAACAGTGATTTGCAGCTTATGCAAATCTTTTTGACGTCATTTTACCTTTATAGTTTTCACCATTTTACTGTTATAAGAGCACACATCTCACAGCTGGTCATAAATTTCAATGAGAAACTTAAAACTTTACATTAATTTGATACAAAGAGATTAGAGACACGTATTCCCAGACACTGTTCAATCGCCAGACGGGCGATTATAGTTGTGTAAAACCTGGCAGAGCAGCATAGCGCAGTTTGAGCTGCAGCAGTAAAACTATACTGCACATCTACCTGCCAGAAAGAGAGAGAGAGAGAGCAAAAGATAGAGAGCCCAAGCGAGCGTGCGCTCCAAGTGCAGGTTTCTAGGTTGGCAGCAGAGCGCGCGAATAGAACGTGGCACGGGGAATATTGGCCAAAATTACCGCGAACTCAAACATCAGGAGACGCTCAGAGGGAAGCGAACGAGAACGGTCGACAGCGCCTATTTCTCTGAAACGTTCAAATTATCCGGTAAGTCTTCGTGTTTACATTAATTCCACACAACTGTTGTCGCTGAATGCGTATATTTGTTGTCCTTAAGGACTTTACCGAACGCTTTCATAATAGAATGTTTTTTTTCCTTCAAATTTATTTAAAAAGTTCACCTGTGACTTAACCTGTAACTAAAACTAGCGGGTAGCACAAACTCTTTTCACAACATTAAGAGGTTCCGCGCCAGTCATGTTTGTATTTACATAAGTATTTGCAGGCTAGCACTTCCATCAGGTGAATTTAGTCAGTTAACTGTAAAAAGCACGTCAAATATGTTTACATCAAACCCAAATCACTGCGTCTGCTGTGCGTAAGTGGACACTGCAGTTTCTGTCGTTCGTTATTTCTTGACAGCAAAACCTTTCTTTTTCAGGCAAGTTCTGTAATTCGCCAGTTCATCTTTTGATTTCTTGAATGTTAATTAGAAGTTATAAATGCAGTGGACTTTGAGTTGAACTGTCCTTTTTATTTGACGACAAATGTGCATTGTTGAATTATGTGTGGTATAGTGGTCAACAATATGCGTGTCATTTATTAAAACAGGTAAATCCTTGCTGGTACTAAACATTGCGCGGATGCTCTCAGACTTGCGGTTATTAGATTTGAAATGTTTTTTTTGTGTTTCTTTTTTGTTTGCAGTCTGTGACATCATGTACCACCTGTAGCCCAAAACTGCACATAATGATATTTTAAGGGTTTTGTTTCAGCATCTGTAACTGAGTGGGGTTTGTTCTGGATAACTAAAACATTGGTATAATAATCCCATATTTATGTTCTTCAGATTTAAGTGGTTTAGAAAGATACTACATATACCTGATACAAAGAGTGCTGCTGGTACAACCTAGCACATTACCATGGTGGGTTCCAACACTAATAAAAACATCTTCTCCTCTACTTTACTTTTACTTTATTGTGTTAATCAGATAATAATATAGACCAAATACATAGACTAGCATCTCTAAAAACCTAACAAACAATGTGTGTCTATTAGTGCTGGGCGGTATGACCAAAAATTTATATCACGGTATTTTCCAAAATTATACCGGTTTCACGGTACATGACGGTATTTTTTTTTCATGCATGACCGGGTGTTAACCATATTTTTTACTGATTGAGAGAGGAAATACTGCAGTATATTGACTTAGAATGAAAAATTCATATCATAACAAAAATAAACACCGGTATTCGGTATGAACCGGTATACCGCCCAGCACTAGTGTCTATATATGTAAATGTGGTGTGCACCCAATGTGCTTTTTTTGTGCGGAAATGGAACATACATTGGAAGGTGTTACAACCCTCCCCATCAGGTCAGGCTTGATCTTTTTTTTTAAAACATGATGCTAACAGACATATGTATATATATATATATATATACTGTATATGTGTGTGTGTAAAAGTCTATCTATATTTTTTTAATATAATTTTTTATATACACTACCATTTAAAAGTTCAGTTTAGTTCAGAAGAAATTAAGTTTTTAAATTTACGAAATAACGTAAGTTATTTACGTAATAAGGATGCATTAAATTGATCAAAAGTGACAAGAAAGGCATTTGCAATGTTACAAAAGATCTATTTCAAATAAATGCTGTTCTTTTGAACGTTCTATTCATCAAAGAATCCTGAAAAAAAAGAAAAATAGAGTTTTCACAAAATATTAAACAGTTTTTACCATTCATAATAATAAGCAATGTTTCTTGAGCACCAAATCAACATATTAGAATGATTTAGGAAGGAGCATGTGAAACTGAAGCCTGGAGAAATTGCTGCTGAAAATGAAGAAACTAGAAAACAGTTTCAAATTGTAATAATTTTTCACAATATTACTATTTTTGATCAAATAAAATGCAGCCTTGGTGAGCATAAGAGGCTTTTTTAAAAATCATATATGTACAGTATGTGTTTGTTTATGTGCAATTTTGTGGAAAACAGAAAATAATTATTTAATTCTGACCTTTTCACAAGGTCCCCATGGCCATGGAACACCAGGAAGTGTCAGAGAATTTTAATTTCCAGGCCTGGAAAATCAATTATTAAAAAATTAATCAAAATATATGGTGATTATAACTTTATTCTAATAAAAAGCTCTAAAATGTTTAATTGGCTAGAAAGTGTCTAGAGCAAAAAGAATTTAGTTAGAAAAGTGCAGTCTTTATAATTCTTTTTTAAAGTCTTAATCCACAAATCACAAATGACTGGGAAGAGTCATAAAAATTAATTGGTTAAAAGTTTTATAAATAAGAGAAAATAAAGCAATTTAATTTTTTTAATGAAAGGAATAATGCAAATAATTTAATGTAGAATATGCAATAGAATTCATGTTTTAGTTGTGAATAATGGAGAGATACAATGGCAGAAACCATACAGCTTCGTCTTTAAGCAGCAGTACTGTCATAACCTGATTTAGATTTAATCACCTACATGAACATATCTATAAAATAAGTGCTTAACACAGTGTCACTATTGCCGTAGCCGGGAGAGACAGCTTTTATCATGGGAGAAACGTCACTGAGATTTAGCCTGTGTTAGTTTGAGATAGCGAGATCTTGTCTGTTTTATTTCTGTCTAAATAGAAACCTCCAGTTGACACCAAATTCCCTGGAGCTGCTTCTAAGCATATAAAATAAGAGGACGAATATCACTGTGTCTGTGTCTGTGTGAATGAGAGAAACAGAGACAAATAGAGAGAGACTGGAGTAAAATTTACAGAAGACAAATAATAGGACTGAATCTACAGTTTCTGAGTTTTATGGGGGACCTTGTTTAAAAAAAGCATCACACACGACACATGCCCTCATGACCTAAATTCATGCCCCTGGAGTGTCTCAATCTGTCCTGTCTCCTGACAAAAAAGACACTTATTTAGAATCTGATAACTTTATTTAACATGAATATAAGATGCAATCAACTGGTGCAAATGTGTTTAAACTGTTGGACTGTCAATTTTACTTTTACATTCTATTTTGTATGAAAATAAACTACATAGATAAAACAATAACTTTAATTTCCTTGGTTAAGGACAGTAACTCGGCTTCAGAGAGTGACTTTCTGTCCAATGTCAGATATAAAGGGGAATGTAAAATGAAGATGTTAATTAATATTTCACCCACCCACTCATTTTCCATCATCATCTGTGGATGCATTAGTCCATGCAGGTCTAATGGAGCTGGGCTCCGGTCAGTGGATTTGAGTCATTAGTTTCACACAAATTCAAGGGACATTAAAGCACCATATCTGCGTAATACTTCCAGTAACAGTAAATAACAGTTCTCTTAGAAAGTCCATTTATTTTTAGTATTAACATTAGCTTGAGTGCAGTTTAATTAGATGTTCAGTAGGATTCCATTTATCATAATATCTTTCTTTTTTTATGTAGTGTTGGTCTTCATCCAGTCGAGAAAATTGAGTCTCTGTCTTTGTAAACCAGGTCTTATATTGGTTTTTAATTAGAGTTTTGGCTTTAATTGTGTCTCTTTTTTAGGTTTAGATTTATAGTATTAAAACATATTTTGGGTTAGCAGTGATAATATGGAAGCCTGGTGTCGCATGTGGAAAGCTCAGAGAGAGATGTTTTATCATATTACCAGCATTCAGGAGTTATTGCTTGCTGCTAACATACCCATCACTGATTCCCAAAACTAGCTCTAACTCAGCAAGAGAGCAGTCTGATGTAAGACTTCCAAGTTAGAGCTGGAGAATTTGAGACTTCTCTTGAGAGGTGTTGTTGTGGTTCTCTCACTGCAAGATAATACTTGAAAAGCAGCCATGGAATAAAACAGAGCAACATCTTTGCTTTTATAGTCTGTTGGAATCTAGAAGCTATTGCTTTTCCCTCCCTTTTTTGTTGCCTGGGAAACAGTGTTATCATGAGGCGGGTGCTTGTTGTTAAGTGATCCACCCTCAATGTTTTTCGGTGGAAGCATGCCCAGAACAGCCAGGAAATGAAGTTAACTGAGCAGTTCTCTTTGTGCAGTGCCGTGGCATATCTCATTTCTCTCATGTCTGTGAAGAACCTTTTCTGAGAATTATGGGATGCGCAGAACTTACTAAAAAACAAATAACTTTCTTTTATTACTGACGATGCAAAGCCCTCTTATTTTCCAGCTTCAGCTACCTGTAGAGATAATTTTTCATGATCCAGTCAATTCCTGTAGAATAATCATTTCATTTCATGATTGATTGATTCTTTGCACTGATACTTACAGACTTATTTGGAGGAAACATTGCATTGCTTTATGTATTTCTTTATTTCTTCAACTAATCGTTGCATTATCTTTCTTAACTGTACAGTATATTTGATAAAATGCATTTTTGACACCAAATATGCCCTTAAGTTTTTTTGTCTCCTGCAGTTGAATGCCAGTATATATATATATATATATATATATATATATAGTTTTTGATTGTTTTGATATGAGTTTTCACATTCTGTTTTCTCTGAATCTGAGCACAGTTGAGCTAAACCCATCTGTCACAGGACAGATCATAATCTAAGAAACTTCATTTTGGTCATAACTCAATTTTGAAACTGCATTTTGCTTTTTCACAGCAGAATAGTACAGTGGGATTTCTCACCCACTCTCAAAAGTCAGGAATCTGGAGTCTGGAAGTTTTTTAGTCATATTCCAAGAATACCTTGGAAAGAGATTTCCGTGAGTGCTTAACTGTCGAATTGTTTACTTGTGTTGTGCAGTGCTGCGCAATGACCAGCTCCCCTCTTCTTGAATCCACCAGCCCAACAACTGCTGGCTGTACTCTAAAGCAGCCGCACTGTACTGTACCACTGCATTTATGTATGACTGTAACCAAGGCAACAAACAACATAAGGAACAGAATGGACAGATTAACTGACTGGGTGTGAAGGGAATCCAGGGTTCTTAATACACACATAATTCTTCCAATTAGCCATTCCTGAGACACAACGTCAAACAAAGTCTTTTTTGGGAAGGTTCTGACTGCACCAGCTTGTGGCATTG